TGTGGGGGAGAAGAATTTTTGTTGTTCTGCTTTGCAGCTGCTATTGCCTATTAGTAATTTGGTCATAGTTTCGTTTGGTCATGAAATGGTTACTTAGAATTATAGCGCTGTTTTTTTCTCTCTTCTTTTTCTTTCTGATCATTGCTTTGGTGCTTGGTTTGCTGATTCTTCTCCAGTCATGTGACACTTTTTGATTGCTCGAGTCAATGCTCGACTCGAGCTCAAGCTTGTAGTTTGTATACTCTATTGATCAACGAGCTGCACGAATATACATATAATTATATAATTATCTAAATGCTCATCATAGACATATTTAGTTGAAATTTTGAACTGAACTCTAGCAAAATACGAGTCAATCCTAGCGTTTGTGTTTCTTTGTTGAGTCAATCGAAGCCTTAAAATGCTCAAGCTCGAGCAAATGTAGGAACAATCGAGGTGCTAGCTGGATAAGCAATACTCGGCTCAACTTTGCTTGTAGTCCTAATCCCGAATCCACAAATCTTGTGTTCCATGAGAAAACTTTATATGAGCTAAGTGGTCCTCGTGATTGGCTAAGACCATCTCCGATCCCGAGATTGACTACGCTTCAAATGTTGCAGAAGGCAAATGAACGAGTCTCTGTCAACTTATTTGTTCAATATATTTGGTTGCAAGTGGCCCTTGTTTTCGCTTACCTTCTCTACTTCTTTCTTTTCTTTTTTCCTTGTCCATTTTTNACAAGTGAACTTATATCAATAGAGGCGGCAATATCATCACTTGAAGGACGATCTCGACTTGTCGACATATGCTCTTTTGGCTTAAAAAATGAATTGATAGTCTTTCTTTTCTTCATTTCTTGACCCTCCATTATGATTGAAACCTATAAAGTTAATATAAAATAGTTAATGAATCAATTATGATATAAGCAAACTAATAATAAAAATTAAAAAGAATTGAAAGGGCAATCAGAATTCTTAATTACTTCAAGCGAACACCAAAACTAATACTAACAAGTAACAACATAAATGGCATATCAAGTAAAACTAGTCAACTTCTTCAATCTTAACAAAACAAAAATCCACTAAACATCAACACTCCTAATAAAATAAATAGAATCACTATTTTCTTGATTTGATAACTAAATGACAATCACAAAATCAAATTGAAACAAAAATGACCACATTGCAAAAGTCAAAAGTGGTGGAACTGCTTTTATATTTTTTTTTAAGTAGCTTTTATAAATTAAACTAACAAAGACAAAACCCCCCAAATCCCAATACCCTAACTAAATTACATCTGAACAAAAGAGTATTTGAAAAAGAAAAATGCAAATTTAGATAAAGGGAATCTTGCTATTTCTCATAAGTTAGTTCAACTGAGACATAAAAGAGGTACGAACCGGGAAGTAGAATCAGAAAGAAAACCCTTACCAACGAGGTTAGCGGCCGTAGCCAATCGGGTCGGGCGGTGGCAGATGGGCGGCGTCTCTGCAAGGAGTGAAGTCGAGACCGTGACGGTGGAATTAACGGCGACAGGAGTGAAGCTTGGGCCGTGGCGGTGGGATTGGCGCTTGGCTGCGGCAGGCTATGAGGAGCAAGCAGAGAATGAAGGAAGACAGATTGTCGATTCAATTCTCCTGGAAGTTTTCTAATTGAATAAGTATGTTCTAGCTTAATTTTTTATGCATAATTGGTTCGGGCCTTTAGTGAATAAATGAGTTGGTGTTTTAAATTTTAATTATTTTGGTTTTTGTTGTTGGCTAATCACATATGGGCTAGGGCCTTTAGGAAATAAATGATTTGCTGTTTTAGTTATTTGGGTTTTGTTGTTGGGCTGGACATGTGGGCTAGGTATTAAATGGCATGGGGCTATATAACTAAACTCTTATAATATAATTTTTTTTTCTTTTTTTTTTTTAATTTTACCTGGGGCTGGAGCCCACCCTAGCCCATGGGTGGCTCCGCCCCTGACTGTGCGAACCTTGTTCCTGCACAAACCACACTCAGATTTTTAACATTGTAAAAGTTTCTATTTTTTTCTGAAATATATGTTGTAGAGTAATATATTATACAGATATTTCTTTAGCCTGACCAACCTTCCATTTCCAAAGGCAAGATTGAGCAGAGCAAACAGAGCCAGCTTCAATGGAGTTATAGTCCTGGTTATGAAGCAACAATTATAGCTGAGATGCAAGAGAAGTACATTTACCTTCATAAGCAGGATGTTCTCATGCAGTAACTTCCTCTTGATGATGTGCATTTTGAGTTTTCTCTTGCCTTTTCCTGCCATGAACATGTTCCATCAGATAATATGTGTGTTAGAGTAGAATACCCGGCGTTCCAATCTGATTGGATATATTTCTACTTTTAAAGACAATTTATTGAAAATTATATTATTTTAAGGCATAGCTTTATCTTATGTATTTGAATTTATCTTATATTTGCACATATGATAAAGTCCTTTGATCATCATTAGCTATGAGGCATGGTTGCGCATTTGATGACAATCATGGAACATGTCTTTAAAGCTGTGATCTTAAATAAGTTCCAAGTCGATGGGTATTTCGAGACAGGACATCGAATAACCTGGTAAGACTTGTGCATATGATGTATGCTCGTCAGACGAGAATGTCGCATTCCATCAATATTACCGTGTGGACGCAAATGCATATATCCGGGTGCTTGTTGGGGAACAAGTTCACTGAACATGACCCGATGAAAATTCTTAACTGAAAGTTTTCACTGTCGAATAAGAATTTTCATGTTACAATAGTACATGACTAATCCTATGACTTGAGGCACGATAGTAATCTTGCATGTTGTACTTTACTTTGATTTATCCTTTTATTGCTGGACAATCATAAAAGGGATATTTTGGGTAGTGTATTAATATGTATGGAGGTTTATCTGTGGCCAACAAAGAATTCGACACTTATGTAGATAAGTGAATTTCCTATGTTTTTCATAGTTTGTAATTCAAAGACCTTGGCCAAGGCAGGATGGATATGGATTCATAAAGGAATCACTAAACTTGAAATGAAATCATAGTTACTAAATCAATTGGGTTTCGACTTATAAATCCATGCCCAAGATTTAATCGAGAAATTAGTTGTCGAAAAGATTTTACATGTATGCACTTGCAATTGAAAAGGTTTACTCGCTATTTCACTTAACACTAGATAATCATGCTACTTGCTAGGTGTTCTCATGATTTGTGGGTTCTTGAAATTAAGGAGTTAATTTCAAGAATATAAATTAATTAGATTAATTTAAATTACAAACGAGTTGTAAAACCACTACTAGTGTTAATTGTGAACCTAAAAGGGTCACACCAAATTTTAGATGATGACTATTTTGAAATTGGTATTTTCAATAGTTGGATTAATTGACAAGACTTAATTAAATAATTTAATTATTTAATTAAAATTTAATTTTGATTAGATGTCAATTAAAAGAATAAAATAAATTAATCAATTGGATTGATTAATTAGGCTTTGGATATTAATTAATTAATTATTGAAATTACTAAATTAATAGTTGGATTTTAAAGTTGGACTTTAAAATTCAAATCCAAATATTAATATGATTATATATTAAAAGCCTACATAAAAGAGGAAGTTTTATTTTACATAGGAGATAAGATTTTGACCAATTATCTTGAATTATTTTTAATTAATCTTTAATTAAGATTAAAGATTAAAATAAAAAAATTGTTTCATTAGGTGAGCTGTCCCACCTAATGATCATCATAATTATCATTAGAATAAATCAAATTGGAGGTGGTGGCCAAAACATCTTATCACCTTTGCAATGTATATATATATATATATATATATGTATTTGATACATATTGAAATGATATAAGACAAGCTCTCCCAACTTAGTTTTTTAAGAAAGAGAACAATTGTTGTTCTCGGTTTCTTCAAAGAAAATAATAATAATAAAAAATCTCTCTTTTATTTGATTCCAAAATATCGATCCGGAAATTTTCTACTAGCGAAAAAATTGTTCTCGGAGCCATAATCTAAAAGGTGGACTCGATTAGAGGGGAGACACTTGAATCCCTTAAGCAGTACGAAGACGATGATAGCCACATAACCGGGAATTGATTTCCTCTTCATCGTCACTATTTGAAGAAAATTAAAGGTAATTTTTGAAATTCTCTACAAATCAAAATTTGTATTTTTACGTGATTTTAAAAGATGCCGATCGTAACAATTTCTATTATAACCGAGGGGTTTAGTATTTATTAGATAAATGCTTATTTATTTCGTTTTATTTCCGCTGCGTTTTACCCCGTACGGTATAGCGAACCCAACAGTGGTATCAGAGCCACGGTTTGCATCTTTAAAATCAGATTTTGATTTGTTTATGTTTATGTGATAAACATATTTAATTGTTAGCTTACATTTTACATTTCTAGTGTAAGGAGTGTGAAAAACTATTGTAATTATCTTGAAAATATAGTGGAATTATTCGGAGGTTGTCTTGTAGTTTTTTCCTCTACATTAGAGGTTTTTCCACGTTAAATCTTGGTGTCTTCTTTCTTGCATATTTTTTTTTGAATATTCTTAGTATGCTCTGTGATCGCAGTTTAATCTGATCTTCAACATCAGAAAAGAATTTTTTTTTTTTCCGAAACCACCCCGGAGGGTGGGGAGTTAGGCCAGACCCCCAACCTGTATATATAAAAGCCCTAAATGGGTTAAGAGTCACATCTACAAGTCCAATATCGAAAATACAACAAGTCAAAAGAAAACAAAAAACCAAGAGGTAGGACCGGCTACTAAAATCTGAATGAAGGGTATCCACATCAGAAAAGAATTATTCATGTTTTATTGCAAGAGATTTCTTTTGTCATTCTTGAGTTACTGAGATTGAGATTATTGTTCACCATTTCACATTGGTGTTTTGATTTACATCTTCCGCATTTGTGCATCTGAGCCCAACAGCTTTGGGGTCTCGAATATTTACCGGTGCAAAGCAAAGTTAAAACGGTCTACTAAAGACAACCCTTGAATTTTATCCTAACATATTAGCTATTTTTCTTATGTGCATGTGCTGGCAGAGGAAGTAGGACCGATGTAGCCGGCAGTTCTCGGAGAAATTCTCGAGAAGCTTGGAGAATTTCATATCCGGGAGCTGGCCTGCGAATACCTCGACCTGCTCATAAAATGGGAAGAGGCCCACTTTCTTGACGTCTTCAAAGGGCTTTTTCAGGCACTCGATTAAATAGCCTAAATCATCCAGTTGCAAGGTTGTGACTTCTCATTATGGGTCAGATTCACTCATTTAAGGAAATAATTGCCCATATTTTTAAGAATTAAGATTTACACTATATCGTTCACAAATATTTTTTTTTTTTTTTGAAATTTAAATTCGAATTTTCATTCAGTCGCTATTTAAAAAATAATACTAAAAATATTAACTTTGAAAATTTAGACGGGAATTTTGATAATATTTAAGTAAATCACTCTCCATATTATATAATTATAGATTATCCAGGTATATAGCTTTAAATAAAAGTGATCATCAAGATTTTATATTTTGTTGCTTTAGGTCAGTTGGCGATTTTGTTACTATCAAATCAACCTGATTTTGTTGACATTTAAGCCATGTGGATGATTAAGTCTTTTGGTTAACATGATAGATTTTATAATACTTGATAACTACAATATTTGGTGGGAATTAGTGTAATCTTAACATTTGCATTCAAATATAGATTGACTATACGAAATGGAATAATTGTTTTGTGCATTCTATCAATAAATCAAATTTGAATTGAAAGTAAATTATATCTGTGAGATTTCATAATAGCGAAATATGCTATAATCATTTCTTGAAATTAGTCAAAATTACAGAATTACAACTTTTTATAAATAAAGCTATGAATTTACTTCACATTATAGAATTTCAATTTATTATGTTATTTTAAATGAAGCTATTATATTATATTGTAAGTACAATTAATAAGCCTTACACAAAATTGTATGGATAAAAATTACTTATTTATCAGGATAAACATTATTATTTATCACATTCTCATTTTACCTAACCGTATTATACGAAGAAAATATAATATATGCTTATGATATTCAAATTTCAAAATTCAAATTACTTTTGAAATTTTCATATGTAGTAAATAAATTCTAGTATTCTTTTAAAATACATGAATGTTATATATTATAGTATTTTGTATCGTGGGCGGATTTTTAGTTATTTATTATTTCTGGTAAATAAATTGAAATATGAGGTACTTGCACATATCCTTGAAACAAACATTTTTTATATTAAATCAAGTGGAACGTCCGCATTTCATGACTTATTCATAGTTAGTTTCAGTTACCTCTTAGATTCTTTTTTTTTTTTTACATGATATTTTGATATGGGATTGAATCTATGATTATCATCAAATTTTGAAAAACCTAATCGATATCTTTTTCCTATTTTTTGTTTGATACATTTTAGCATCAATATGTGAAAAAAAAAAAATTACGTTTCAAGAAATATTTTCATAAATTTATAAAATCCTAACAATCACTATATCTAAAATACATATAGTTGAAAATAAACAAAATTGAAATATTTTTCTACGAAATATCAAGTTTTGAATGTCAATAATTTCCATCATATTTTCAAAAAATAGCGTAGAGGTTTTCAATTTGTTAGTAATTAGTATATGAAATAAATAAATATAAATATTTGATTTTATATATTTTATGGTATAAAAAATTTAATTTAATAACAGTTTAAATGGATACAATATACAAAATTTTTTACTTGATTGGCCATAAATTAAGGGAAGAAATTTATACTTTATTACTAAAGATGTCAATCATATTGAAGTGAACAACCACTTAGGATAAATATTGGAAAAAGAAACAAATCATAAAAATATAGTAAACAATAAATTATCATATGGATTAATATAGAAAAGGCAAAATAATTAGGAAATATTTGAGTTAATCAACTTTCAAGGAAATCTTTGACTATGCAGATTGATTAACTCAACTAAATAAAGAGAAAAAAATCGGATTTGGCAAAAATTGCTTAAAAAAAAAGGAAGTGAAATCTATTACTATAATAAAAATAGGAATTGGCAAAAAAAGAAGGAAGTGGAATTTCGAAGGTTATTGGTTAACATTGACTTTATCCGATATTTGCCAAATCGCATCCAAAATAACGAAAACGTTAGCCAAATATTTCAAACAAAAATTGAGGGAGAAAATAGAAATTTGAGCGGGAAAATGNAAAAAAAAAAAAAAACAAAAAAAAAAAACAAAAAAAACAAAAAAAACAAAAAAAACAAACAAACAAACAAACAAACAAACTAACTCCTCTTATGCTTAGTTCTAAAGCTAAACCCTCAAATCCCATGGAAGGGTTTACATCTCCTCCACAGTTGATGTCCTAAGCTTGGCGATCATCTCCACAACTTCATTGTTACCGACAGTTGAAGTTTGACTTAGAATATTACCAGGTGCCCATTCCAAATACAGCGGAGCATCCCTGTAGGAATAAAATGCAATTCATTCGTCTCCATGACAAATAGTACGAAAGAAATAAAGCAAAAAGAAAAGAAATATGAATACCACTAGCATAAAATTAATTAGACCTGATTATAGTTGTGGTGTTTTTATAAGTATGAATTGATTATCCCTCTTTCTTATTCTATTATTTATGAGGAAAGTTTGATTAACATCAATTATCAAACCACAGTACATGAGAGAGAGATTTCTGAACATTAATCTGTTGTCATATGAAAAAACACAACCACAAATCATAGGCTCAGATTTCTCCATCCCAAAGCTCTTCAAAAGTTCTGTACTCGGCTTAGCGTCTAGTGGTCAAACGAAGAACCCTTGATCAGCCTTGCAAGTTCACAAACAAACATCTCATAATGTCGAGAAATCAGAAAAATGACCATATCTCATGTCTCTTGACCAGATTATCTAAGAAAGTTCAAATGAGAACATGAATAACTCACCTGCTCGATTTCAGAAAACTTAGCGAACAAATCATCTGGAATGCTCCACGTAAAGACATCCAAATTCTCTTCAATCCTCGACTGCTCGTGCTGTTGGGAAGGATGCTGTGACCCATCTGCAAACCCCATCTAAGCGCGACTTGGGCCGTCGTTTTACCTAAATTCTCGGCAACAGCAGCTAAAACGGGGTTCTTGAGGACTTCATTTTTCGGTCATTTTGTGCCACGAGAGCCCAATGGCGAATAACCCTAAAACTCAAACACCAGGTTAACACTGACTATACACCAACACCAAACCCAAAACTTGTGAAAACAAAAGCAACCCATCTTGATTTTAAGCAAGCTCACTCGGCAAAACGTTGTCTTTCAAGCAAATACACCCAGTGCATATAAATAAAAACAACAAAATAGCAAAGTCGTCAAACTACAAATCCAGTTGACTATTTGCAATACATAATGTCCGTAGCTTCACTCATTATTCTCATGGCCCAATGTCCGTAGCCCAACAAGAGCCCAACATAAGGGTGGGTGGCTCGTGGCTGTTACAAGAATTCCAAAAAGATAACAAAAGCTGATAAATCCAGATACACATATGAATTTTGCAAGGTTTATTTACAGCTGCACATAATAAATCAACCTCGTTTGCTTCATTACAATTCCTTATATCCCATATAAACATAAAAATCCAGATCTCCAGTTACATTAAGGGGTAAATAAAAGACTATATAATTAAAACTGCATAACAAAACATGAAAACATTCTTTGTAGACTCAGTACCAACTCCAGAAAGAGCTCAACAATGTAACTGGACCCCAGAACAGCAAACAAACAAGAAACATAGGAACCTATCAACTTAAAAATAGCTAAAAAAAACACATCGATCTCCAGTAGCTTATGCTCTGGCAGACGGTGAGCCGCGAGTCCAGAAGCCCAGTCAGGGCCCAAATGGCCCCCAAGAGAGCAATTTGAGAGGACCGTAAGGCCCGCCAGAGACAGCTCCATTAGGCTCGACTTCCATCCTGTACTATGCGAACCTTGTTCCTGCACAAACCACACTCAGATTTTTAACATTGTAAAAGTTTTTTTTTTTTTTTTTCTGAAATATATGTTGTAGAGTAATATATTATTATACAGATGTTTCTTAGCCTGACCAACTTTTCATTTCCAAAGGCAAGATTGAGCAGAGCAAACAGACCCAGCTTCAATGGAGTCATAGTCCTGGTTATGAAGCAACAATTATAGCTGAGATGCAAGAGATCTACATTTACCTTCTTAAGCAGGATGTTCTCATGCAGTAAGTTCCTCTTGATGATGTGCATTTTGAGTTTTCTCTTGCCTTTTCCTGCCATGAACATGTTCCATCAGATAATGTGGCACTTTCAATGCATACTATAAGAATCGCCGACTATAGAAATTCACCATCTCGAGATGGAATCATGGAAATCCAAGAGCTCAAAGCAACTTGGCAATCACGCAACAATCTTCGGATCATAACATACAACGGACCAAATACCCACTAACGGAAAAGTAAAAACAATTCTCAAAATGTAATGCCGGTAGCGAAATTACCAAAAAAACAACCATAAACGATTCATACGACTTACTTTTCCAGTAATTTAATTTGTGACATAGGTCTCTGATAACCATTTTCCTCGTTCTCTTGCGTCTTGGGTTTCAGTCCACCTCTTGATTCTGGCTTCCAATTTGCCCTCAAAAGCGACATAGCCAGTAGCTCTGCAATATCAGTAGCCATAGTCTCGGCCTTCTTGACAAAAGGAAACCTTTCTTCCTCAAAGTGATTTGACAGCCACAAATACATAGCAAGCACCTGGTGCCTGGTCTCGAGATCCAGAAGCTCCGAGTCATTGCGGGCTGCACACTTGGGCATGCCCATGGCTATATTTACTGGAAGCTTCTGAGCATATGAGGATGCAAACCTCAGGAGATGGTACATTGCTTTGGGGTCCCGAATATTTACCGGTGCAAAGCAAAAGTTAAAACGGTCTTCTAAAGACAACCCTTCAATCTTATCCAACATATTAGCTATTTTCCTTATGTGCATGTGCTGGCAGAGGAAGTAGGACCCATCTAGCCGGCAATTCTCGGAGAAATTCTCAAGAAGCTTGGAGAATTTCATATCCGGGAGCTGGCCTGCGAATAGCTCGACCTGCTCATAAAATGGGAAGAGGCCCACTTTCTTGACGTCTTCAAAGGGCTTTTTCAGGCACTCAATTAAATAGCCTAAATCGTCCAGTTGCAACGTTGTGGCTAACCCATCTGGATATCGGCTCCCCCTACGGCCTGCCCTTCCAGCTATCTGTTTCACTTGAGAAGCCGGCACGCAAACCATTTTATCACCATTATATTTTGACAGGTTATAGAATACGATCCTACGTATGTTCAAATTCAAACCCATACCCACAGCATCACTGGCAACCAATACATCAAACTCATTACCTTGATTGTTAAAAAGGGAAGCCTGCTGCCGACGAGTCTCTGGTGGCAGGGCCCCATATATCACACAACAACGGTGGTTTGTGTATTTCTCGATCGCCAATTTAACCTCAAATATTTCCCTCCTCGAGAAAGCAACGATACAATCTCCCGATTTCACGTTCTTCAAGTCTCCCAAGAGGGTTTTTGCCTCGACCACAAGAGGTTTGAACCTCTCATAGTGCTGTTCCACGAGTTCGTCCCCCGTTTCCGAACAAATTCGCCTCACCACATTCAGAACACTTGGGTCCCCACACAAATGGATCTCGTCGGCTTTAAGCCCGAGCAAGGCCCGCGTCCAAGCATAGCCCCGGCAAGAATCGGCCATCATCTGGATTTCATCAATAACTGCCACATCATACAATTCATCGGTCGAGACCATCTCAACTGTGCAAGCAACATGGTTCGAGAACGGGAAGTCCTTCTTCTCTTGGCCGGTGAGAAGGCTACAGTAAACTCCCAAAGCATTCACCTTGTCAAAAACCTCCATGGCTAGCAACCTGAGGGGGCTGCAGTAAACGCCTTTCTTAGCCTCCATAAATCTCTGCAGCGCATTGTACGTCTTGCCGCTGTTGGTGGGGCCACAGTGATAGACGATCTTACGTTTCATGGCCCTGGCGAAAGGGAACCAAGTGTGGGGCCGGGTCATGTCGGCCGAGTCCACCATTTTTCGGAACCTTGTGATCTCATCCGGAAATTTCTCCACGCAAAATTCAACAAAAATCGGGAACAGAAATCTGTCGGCCTTGTCTCCGGGACCTAGGGACACCAAGTAGTTAACCATATCGTTGCTGGACCTCTTCACGAAAAAGCTGCCGAATTTACGGGCTGCTGACGGGAAAAACGAGGCACTGATATAAATGGCAAGGGCCTGGTTTGTAGCCCAACTGGACTTGGAAAAAAAGCTCAAAATCTCAGTCAAAGCATCGGAATCTGCACCAGATTTCTTTTGGCTGTGCAGGGTGTCCTTAAGCTCTTTATATATCTGTACCGGATCCCTATTGGAAAAATCCAGACTTTGATCTTCCTGCCCAGCAATTTCAGTTTCGGGCCCGGGTATTCTTCCTTCCTCGCCAGATTTGCCATATTCCTCTTCTGGTTGAATACTTTCCTCTGAATCAAGGACCGGCTTTTCATTTTCGGACAGGGTGCAGAACCAATGTCGGTGAGAATCTGGAAATGTGCTGAATTTCATGAACTGGGTGAAGACGGGTACCGGCGGCCACGGTTGTGCCGAGACTTGCGGGGAATTGGGGCAGGATTCTACCGCGCGGAGATGGAACTTCCGACAAGGAATTAAGTTCCTACCCAAATAAATGTTGCTGTTTCTACAGGAATACAGGGAAAAAAGCCGCTTTGCCTGACCTCTCGCCATTGAACAAACAAACAAAAAAGAAAAAAAGACGAATTTGTTGGTTAATAAATGATTCGGGAATAGCGAATTGACCTGCAGCGCATAAATTATGATTCTATGGCAGATTGCAGCGGTAGGGTGGTGGCGGGGTGTTGGAATGACAATAACGTAGTGCTGGATTTGGGAGAAAGAAGGCAAACCATAGTGTTGAGGATGCGAATCTGCTAGAACCCTAAACCCTGAATGTATATTCTCTATATATATTATTCGGAAACTATAGCAAAATATAATATTTTTTTATGCTTATTGTTTCTCCAATTTTTTTTTCCGGAACTATTGTTTCTCCAATTGAAACGGATTTTTGAATGTATAATCTCTTTTTTGGGGTAGTTTATTTATTTAAAAATAAAAAAAAATAAGTGGAAAAAAATAAAAAAGACGTATTTTTACAATCCGTTTTTCTAATAACAATTTATTAGAAAAACGTATTTTCATTATACGTTTTACATTTAAAAAATATTTATTTAAAAAATATTTATTTCCTTTTAAGAATTTAAAAACGGTTATATTTTATGAATTAAAAACGGATTTAATGAATCCGTTTTTTAAAATCCCAAAAATCATTCAATTTAGGGTTTTAAATCCGTTTTATAAAACCCTAAATTGAATAATTTTTGGGATTTGAAAAAACGGATTCATTAAATCCGTTTTTAATTCATAAAATATAACGGATTCAATTTTAATTATTTGAAAAACAGATTCCAGAAATCCATTTTATAAATGTTAAAAAATAGTAAGAGGTTCCCAGATTCGGGTGAATCCGTTATCTCTGGGGGCTCCTCGTTACCATTAGGCCGCACTAGGCTATCGCTGATTTTTTTGCACAAGTTTTATTTTTATCCTTTAACATCAATATTTTTTATAGTATATTTTATACAGTATATATTATACAATATATATTATATATATAGTATATAGTACATATTATTTATTTATAGTATAAAATATAATATATACTATATAGTATTATATGTTATATACTATATATTATACTATATATTATACCATATATAGTATTATATGTTATATATACTATATATTATACCATGCTGTAAAAGTAAAAGATATAAGATATAAACTATAAACTATAAACTATAAGATATAAACTATAAACTATAACATATAAGATATAAACTATAAACTATAAACTATAAGATATAAACTATAAACTATAAGATATAAACTATATACTATATGTTATATGTTATAATCTATAAGATATAAAGTAAAAGATATAATTTGACTTCGATTTCACTATAGTTGACTTTAATTATACTAATTTGACTTCGATTTCACTATAGTTGACTTTAATTATACTAATTTGATTTTGATTTCACTAATTTGATTTCGATTTCACTAATTTGACTTTGATTTCACTAATTTGATTTCGGTTTCACTAATTTGATTTCGATTTCACTATAGTTGACTTTAATTATACTAATTTGACTTTAATCGTACTAATTCGAGCCTAATTGTACTAATTGGAGTTCGATTTCACTAATTCGAGTTCGATTTCAGTATAATTGACTTTAATTGTACTAATTCAAGCCTAATTGTACTAATTCGAGTTCGAGTAAAATATAATATATACTATATAGTATTATATGTTATATATTATATATTATACCATATAATAGATACTATATAGTATTATATGTTATATATACTATATATTATACCATGCTGTAAAAGTAAAAGATATAAGATATAAACTATAAACTATAAGGTGGAAGGTAATAAAATTTATTTATATTTAATATTTACTTTATTTCCACTATTAAATTTTGTGATTACAATTTTTTTTTTTACTGTGATTTTTAAGATGGGTGGGAAGGAGGAGCACAACACACCTGGGCAAGGGAATAGCCACCACCCAGGATCAACTGACAGGGCTCACTGAGACGGATGTAAGATTATTATTATTATTATTATTTGTTGTTTGTTTTAATTTTTTTATAACTTAATTCCTAATTAATTTTTTTTTTCAGTTCGAATGGCTACCCTATCAGTGGCACCTGCAAAGGAATGCTCTCCCGGCCCAGTGTACAGAAGGTTCACACCTCTCGATGTATAGGGGGTGGATCTTCAACTGGAACGTCCGGGAAGTCCATATGCCTGATAGGGTCCTCCGTCAGTTCGGGTGTCGGCAGTCCATCCCCAAACCTCCTATCATTCCGACTGAGACCGAATATCAGAGACACCATCGAGGCCAGGGAATGACCGGGAGGGCAGTTTTTGACTGGGTGGCCTTTCACGGAGAGCTTGGGAATGCTTGGGTCGAACATAGACACGAAAATATTTATCCCAACATTCCCTGTGGAGTCATTCATTGACCCTGAGGCGGGTTACCTTGATTGGTTTCACAGTATCACTGTGAGACTACTCGGTGACCCTGCCAAGCACGCGGTGGCCCAACCGGACAGAGGCTTTCGCCCACTTGCCAAGTAGGGGAAGTGCGACGTAAGTAATATATATTTCTGTTTTTTATTCTATTATTATTATTATTATTATTATTATTATTATTATTATTTTGTGTTTCATTCTAATTGACTTTGAATTTAATTTTCAGGCTACCGCCATGGAGGGAGCTTATCACACGTTAACAAATGTTGACCACCTCTTTCATACACTCCCTCCAGAGGTGCAGGCCGCAGTCTTAGAGGCCAAGAGCCTTCTCTACAGTTCTATGACTGTCGGAGGCGGAGATGTCGCACAAGGGCCGTCGTCGAGCCAAGTTCTCTCGTAGGAGAGCTACGTCCGATCCCAGAGGACGCAGTCACACCGGGCAAGGCATCGACCTACTCCTAACATCGATGGAGGTAGAAGACGACGCGACCGCCAACCCGCTGCCGACCCCGTGCCTCAAGAAGAAGAAGAAGAAGAATAAGGTCAAAATTTTTAACTTAACACAAAAACATAATTTTATTTATTTTTTGTGATTTTTGTTAAATCAAATTTCTGATTTCTTAAAATAATGAATTACTCAGCTGAAGAAGAAGAAGAAGAAGAAGAACCTACGACGCCTACAGCATCATCTTCTTCACGACCACTATGGCGTCGGGTTAGCTCCCGACCGCGGAACCCTATGAATCGATACACTCCTAGTTAGTTGTGTTGTATTCCGGGAATATTTGTGGATATATATATTTATTTTTTTCTTTCTTCGTGGATTATTAGTAATGATATGTGGACATATTTGGATAATGAATTGTTGTGCTTCATTTTTCTTTCTTTCACGAATGGATTGATATCATGAGCTTGTATAATTAATATTTGGTTGTGGAATTGATCTCGATTAACAGGTGTGTTTTTGTAATTTTTCTGTAATTTTTACTGTTTCTGCACAGTAAAACGTATTTTCAAAATACGTTTTTTTTTTTTTTTGGTTGAAAAACGTATTTCGAAAATACGTTTTATATTTTTAATTATTATTTTCTGGAAAAATTGGTATTCAAAATAGTAAATGTTAATTTTATTTAAAAAACGTATTTGAATAATACGTTTTATAATTAAAAAATAATATATAATTATTTTTTAATATAAAACGTGTTCGAAAAATATGTTTTGAATTTTTTTTAATTTAAAACGTATTTGAGGAATACGTTTTACCGTATTTTAATTAACTTAATTACGTTTATTGCGTTAATTAATTTTTTATTAGGAAAACGGATTCGGATAATCCGTTTTATAAATAAAAACGTATTTCTGTAATACGTTTTATAATGAAAAACGGATTATTCGTATACGTCCTTTTGGTTTTTTTTCCACTCATTTTTTTTTTTTTTTGTCCACTTTTTTTTTTAATTTTTAAATAAATAATAAATTCCTCCTTTTTGCCCTTAAATATTATTTACAATTTTTCTTTTTTAATTTTATCACGTTTTCTGAAATATATCTAACCTATAAAGACCAATGTGAATTTCACATCGATCCATTTTTCCATTGCCCATTTCTTTTATTTTATTTTCTTCATTACTTTCACCATTCATACTCTGCTGCCAAGTGTACTTGCAAGAATTGTAGCACCGATGGATCAGCAAACTTTGATTTTTGCCGAAAAATATCTTGTTGATTACAACATTCAATAAGGTTTTATCTTTCGTTCTAATTTTTCTTCGTTTCCTTCTAAAGTTTCGAATTTCATGATCATATTTGAGATATAATGTTTTGAGATTGCATTCTGATGCTCTGTAGAGTGGAAGAATTTTTTTAGATGTCCATTAGCATGATATATTGCTTTTATTTTGCTTTCAATGATTTGATTGCAAAATTAATAATGTAACTTTTCATTTTATTATTAATTAAACCTTTGTACTTTACATATTTGACCTTATTATAAGAATGCATTGTGTACTTAATTTTTTGATATCGCTCTTGTATATTGAAATGGACGTTGGGATTTTCTATATTGTACATATTAAGATTTAAAATTTATCAATTCTAATGTCCATGTGACAATCACCCAATCGTTACATATATATCTCATCTTAATTGATAATCAATTTCAAGTTGAATTTCAAATTTTTAATTAGAACAAATAAAATAACATTGGAGAGTCTATGTTGCATTTGGTTTTGAAGCTTAGGGGTTGTAGCAACTAGCAAGTATGCGTATGACCCATGTCTCAGTGCGTTGGCTTAGAATTTAGAAATACAATCTTGACAAGCTAATAAGTGTAAAAAATAATTGAGTTTCATTAGATGTGGGTCTCACCATTATAATTTATTAAACTAATTTGACTAATTTACAGTTTAATAAGTGTGAAGATTCATCTGCCATTTAGCCACATGATCCCTAACAAACTTGTCAACTTGCCTTAATAATTTCGATTTATCGAGTCAAAATTCAACTCGAGCTCGAGTTTGACCGAACTCGAGTCGAGCTCGAGTGACTCGAGCACGAACTCGAGTAGAGGATAGAGCCGTAACTTAATAGACAAAGATATGAAGCAAAACTCAAAGAGATAGCTAAGGAAGTTGACAAGTACTTTAATGATGCATATGAAAGTACAAGGAATGATGATTTTGACTTATTGGGGTGGTGAAAAAATAAAATCTCAAGTTACCGTATTCTTTCCAAGGTTATTAAGGATGTACTTGTTTTTCCTAGTTCGATTGTTGCTAGTGAAAAAATGTCTTTTTAGCCTTGGAGGAAGGATTGTGGATCCGTTTAGAGCTTCTTTGACGGTTAGGATGGTCGAGACCTTAGTTTGCACAAGTGATTGACTTAAAAAAGAGTAATTCCAATTTTACAAGGAGCTTATGGAAGAAGAGCTTGAGTTCTACATGAAACTCGATTTATTGGAATAAAGTAACTCTTTTATTAATATTTTGGTATTCATATTGTGCATGTTGAAACTAGGCTACTATTTTGTTTTCTTAATCATGTTGAAACTTTGAATTTTGAATTATGGAATGTTGTCATTATTGGGTTGTTCAACAATTGGACTTAATCATGTTAGAATTTGGAATGGATGAATATTTTTTTTTTCTTTCGACTAAAAATCGATTCGATTTCAGTTTCGCATTTTATTGATACCGAAATTATCAATTCGACATCAGTAATGACTTGTCGGTTTGATTACCGAATGGATACCAAGCCTAAATCCCCCAATTTCATCTAGGTTATAATAAAACAATGACTCTTTTCCTTCAAAAAAATTCCACTTAGTACTACATTACTATGTACATCTCGTATATCATATTTTTTAAACAGATACATATTTTCTAGTGTTGCTTAACAGCGGATTAACATGTCATATTTTTTTAGTGCAGAATATTATTCATGTTATTATGATATCTTACAACAAAGATATAACTATTTATTAAAATATCATTTAATATTCCATTTCAAAGATGCTCACATAAGACAATCCACCCAACGCACTAATAATAATATTTTGCCTCTTAATTATTGAAATGAAGTTTCAACTTTCAATGAGAGAATAACGGAGAACAAGTCGTACGCCTACGCGGCTACACACAGCTGAAGATTTATAATGTTATACAACAATTCAAATAAAATACAATTAATTAATGAATTAAATATTCTAGTATATTATTCAAAACCCCACTTCCAAGCAAACTAAGCAGCGAATGGTGTAATTAGTAATTACTAATTTTTGTAATTATGAAGCCTATAAAACAGTACTGCATGAGCAACCGTTGATTCCACCGTTCCATGGATTGCCGGGAAGATTTCCGCTCAATTCTTCCATTTTTGCCGGTGATCATCCGGTCCGACGCCGCCCATTGGCCTCCGCCGGTGGAGGAAGCTCTCAGGTACCTGTCCAGGGGCACGAGTCAGAGCAATGTCAATTCCGGTCAACTCTTTGCCCTTGCCATCGCCGACCTGCGAAATTCTCTCGGCGTTTCTACTCTCCATCCCTCTGCATCGCTTGGCTTATCTCTATTCTTCGACACTGTAAGTTAGCTTCATCGTTTAGTACAACTGAATACAAGTCCAAATGTTAATTTTGTTCTTTTTCCCTTTTCATTTTCCAAATAATTTGTTTCATTGGGAGTCTTGTAATTAGGTTCTGATGAATTCAGTTCGTATGAGTCAAATGATGATGTGTTGTGCGGGCATATGTGAATGATTTTAGCTTGCGTTGTTCATTTTCATTTTTTAGTATAGTAATTGTTCAAATTTAATTCAGCAAGAGTTGATCAAACAGTTGTAATTCTTATTATTTGAAGAGATACACTAATTTCTGTAAATGATGTGCTATTGTACCAAAGAATCCGACGGCTATAAGGTTTGCCTTGTTCACATACGAAGCGTATCGGCCTTCATGCATGAACCACTGAAGAAAAATATCAAGAATTGCTTGTAAGTCTTTTTGGTTATTGTTCTTGTAGTTGATGAGTAAGGATGAGTCTGAGACTTGGTTTAGAGACGTTATTCCAAGGCTTGCAGATTTACTTCTAAAGTTGCCTGCACTGTTGGAAGCCCACTATCAAAATGCGGCCGTCACCAATGGAATGGAAACTGGTCTTAAATTATTGGAGGCGCAACAGCCAGGCATTGTGATTCTTAGTCAGGTAAGATATTTAAGAACATACATTGAGTTATATTTTTGAAATGCTGAAATTCAATTTTGTAAGTAAACTTTTATACTATATTGTAGCTTGATTAAGGATTAGCAGTGCACGGTGTAAGATATGGTTGCTATTGGAAATAGCGCAGTATTGAATAGAATATGCAACTTATTATGGTATTTTCAGCGGATTCAAGAGTGACGAACTGTGGTTTACATTGGAAATAGTGCGTGTGTACTTTACTACAATATTTGATTATGAGATTTTATGCTTATTGCAGGAATTGATTGCAGCTCTTCTGGCTTGTGCTCTTTTCTGCTTGTTTCCAACCACTGGTCGAGGCGAAAAACATCTTCGATCTATCAACTTCGATAAATTATTTTTGTATGTTTTATATCCTTAAATGACTGTAATTTGCATAGTTGTTAGAAGGCATTGATACACCTATGACAATTTCCTTTTTCTAGTAATCATAAAGAAATTACATTTGCTCTCTATGTGATTTTGGTATATCGATGATCTCTTAGCTGTTTGAATTTCAAAAACTGATGCGGGTCATTTGCTTGTTATTGATAATTATTAGTGAAGATAAGACAATATTTCCCCTTTTTTTTTCTCACTGTGGTTTTTCTTATGATACCATTTACTTGGTGCACTTTATGATTTTTCTGAAGCAAGCAACTCTGTTTTTACCTTATGCAGATGTCTACACGAGCGTAACAGGGCAAATCAAGAAAATAAAATTAAGTGTATAGTTCACTATTTTGAGAGGGTATGCAAGAATATGCCTGCAGGGAATGTTTCCTTTGAGCGCAAAGTTCTCCCCTTGAGGAACAGTAGTCCATCTAACATTGTTTACCCGGAGGCTGATTTCTGGATCAACTCTACCATTTCCCTCTGCAGGCTTGAGGTGATGAACGAACTATCAATCTTCACTAGATTTGCTTATCTAACCATGTTAGTTTCATTACTTTTTTCCTTCACATAAAAGAAACACCTAATTAAATGTCAAATTTGTGTATAAAAAAAAAAAAAAAAAAAACACTTATCTCATGTATAGTTAGTCCAAATTGTGATAGCTTATATTATATATGATCCTATCATAGGTTCACATACCTGGTTTAATCGAGGATCAGCCGACCGAAGCTCTCGAAGTGGACTTTGCAAATAGATACATCGGCGGCGGTGTTCTGAGACGTGGCTGTGTTCAAGAAGAAATCCGTTTCGTGACAAATCCAGAACTGATTACGAGCATGCTATTTCTGCCTATGATGGCAGATAACGAGGCTATCGAGATTATCGGCTCAGAAAGATTCTCAAATTACACCGGCTATTCATCTTCCTTCCGCTTTTCCGGCGACCATGAGGATGAAAAGGGTATCGACAAATTACGAAGGCGAAAAACGCGAATAATCGCGATCGATGCCCTTCGCCGCCCGGGAGAAGCACAGTACACGCCAGAATGCCTCCTTCGTGAAATTAATAAGTCGTTTTGCGGCTTTTTCAATTCATTTGAAGGTGAAGGTGAAGAGATTGGTGTAGCTACTGGGAATTGGGGTTGTGGGGCTTTCGGGGGAGATCCTCAAGTTAAGGCCGTGATTCAATGGCTGGCGGCTTCTCAAGCAAAGAGGCCTTTCGTGTTGTATTATACATTTGGTTTGGAGCAGTTGGAGAAGCTTGAGATGGTTGTGCAGTGGATCGTGTCTCAAAAATGGAGTGTGGGTGAGGTTTGGAGTAAGTTGGTGGAGTACTCGGGTCAGAGATTGAGCGGGAAAACCGCGGTTGGATTTTTCGAATGGCTTATATGATGATGCACTCTGGTGTGAGTTTTTTTATCTGTGTTTTAAGTGTTTGTGCATTGTATGTTTGTTGAAGAGTTTTTTATCTGTGTTTTGAGTGTTTGTACATTGTATGATGCACTCTGGTGCCGAGGAAAACAGCGACATTTGCATGGAGAATGGAATTTATGATACCAAAACTATTACAAAACAGCATATGGAATTTTCTACTTGCTTCCTCCACCATAATACGAAAAATCTTCAACTTTGTTCACAGAGATCAGAGTGGACATTCTCAGATGCAACTAATGCATATAGCCAATTCTTCTAGTGCATATGCTCTTGAAGCAAACTCTTACCCAACATACACAACCACTCTCAAACACAAACCCAAAACTTGTCAAAACAAAAGCAAACCAACTTGATCATATAAAAACAACAAAATAGCAAAGTCGTCAAAAGTCGAATTTCGCATTGGACATCAGATCCAGTCACTTATAACAAACACGCAAACAGATTTTATCCAAAAAACAGAGACTCATGAACCCTCAGCAGCAGCAGGCTGTGTAACCCCAGACTTAATCAGCAGCTTACTCAGCCCCTCTGGCGAACACACCTGATACTTCACCTTCCCATTAGATAAAAACACCTCAGCAAGCTCAAGCTTCTCAGACGTGAGGCTCGTGCTATCCATCGTCTTGCTAAGCACCTTTAACGCAAGCTCAACAGCCTCTTCCCTAGTAATCTCATCCTTATAATCCTGCTTCAACATCGACTGAGCCGCCTGATTATTTGCCCCAATAGCCGCAGCCTTCCAGCCGCTGTAATTCCCACTTGGGTCACTCATGTACAGCTGGAAGCCATAGTTTTTGTCCCACCCTGCAAATAAAAACGAGACGCCAAACGGGCGAAGCCCACCAAACTGTGTGTACCCTTGCTTGGTGTCGCACAGTGATTGGACCAGCTGTTCAACAGGCATTGGCTCCTGATAGGCTAACGTGTAGCGCTGGGCTTGGATTCGGGCAGTGTTGATGAGTATGTTTGCATCGGACATTATCCCGGCCACAGCACAAGCCACGTGATCGTCGATTTTGTACATTTTCTCGGTGGATGCAGAGGTTTGGAGGAGCTTCGAGGTCACTTTCTTCTCGCCGACTAAAACGACCCCGTCTTTGGAGAGTAAGCCTATGGCACTTCCTGCATTGCCAATAGCTTCCATTGCGTACTCAACTTGGTAAAGGCGGCCCTCCGGGGAGAAGATGGTCGTGCGGCTGTCATACCTTCGAGACATCTCGAGTTCTACACACACACACACAAAAAAAAAAAAAAAAAAAAAAAAAAAAAAAAAAAAAAAAAAGGAGAAGAAAGCTTGGATGACTGAGTTTGAGGCTCAAAGTTAAATTAATGAATAATGCGTAGATAGCACGATTATGCACTGAATTTCACGGAATGTCTAGAATGCGTATGAGGTTAAAGTAGGGAACTAAATCGATTATCGAATTGGGAAACTGCATAACATTTAGTCCCACCGTTATATAGGCTATTATGTTCAATTCCGTAGAAATTGGTCGGGCACAAATTGACTCCAACAATAAGATTGAGATCTTTCCAGATGAAGAAATGCAGAAAACAAGCAAGTCTAAGTTCTTCTACTAGAGACGATCGATACCAGAAATTAAAACGCACGAAAGAGAACTTGAGTATGAAGTATAAATTGAAAAGCAAGAACATACCTGCAGAAAGATCTGGATATGGATGAATATGGATTTCGTAAGAAGGAAGAACGAATGGTTTGGGGAAAATATATGCTCCTAACTTTTCTTCCAAGTATTCAGCATTACTTGTAAAATAATGTGTGCTTGTCAATTTGACCCCAACACTTTTTTTTTTTTTTTGATAACTTGACCCCAACATTTTCTAATGTTTCAAAAACCATTTCTTTTGTTTTGTCAAATATTTCAGCCCAAAACTTAAGATAAATAAATAATTATAAATGAAAACTTGAACTTAAAATGACTTTTATACCCGGAGTTGCTTATTTTTCAGGTGTGTGAATTTACACATGCTTAACTTTATTCCAATTCTTCTGAAGAATATCAAATATAATGGGTGAGTGACGGAGCAAAACCAAAATCGAACAACAACAACAACAACAACAACAAAAAAAAAAAAAAATGAAACTGAAAATTTTCAAAAGTCCAAATTGAATCGCACCGTTGTGAAGAAAAAACCAAACCAAAATCACACCGTAATTGTTGATTTCAGTGCGATGTTGGTTTGGTCAAATAATGTATAGAGATGAGATAACATCATTACAATTAGTACTCGATCTTGTCCACATGCACAGATAAAAATAAAATATTATAAAATATATTTATACATATTATTTTTAAAATTATAAGTTAGATAATGCATATATCACATTTTAAAAATGAGAATGCATATATCACATTTTAAAAATATGAACATTAGTATAAATGAATATTATAATTATAAATTATTTTACTTATATATAAATAATGTAATGAATAATATATATTTTTAAACAAATTTAAGGAATTATGACCAGTTAATTAATTAAAAATTAAAATTATTATTATTGTAGCAATTATTTACATAATTTTAAGGGATTAGTTATGCCATTAAAATCAATTAGATATTTAAAAAAAATCCTAATGTGGTAAAAATAATAAAAGATAATATTAATTTTAAAATAAATAGCTTGAAGAAAAAAATTTGCTATAACTTTTTTTTTATAAGTTTGTAACTTCCATAAAGTTTCTAATGTGAATTTATAAATCGCCAATATTAATAGTAATTATTATATGATAAAATAAAGGGAAAATTACACTTTACCTACCGAACTATTCGCTTTTTTACACTTTGCCCACCAATCTTTTTCCGGCGACACTTTAACCTTGAACTTCAGGATTTGTTACACTTTCCGACTTCCGGCCATCGGACTCGCAAAATGAAGGGCAAAGTCGACCTTTCAGGTATTAAATTACTTTGAAATAGGAAAACGCATAATTGAAATCATTCATAACCCTAATTTTACCCTAAAAAGCACGATCACTTCAAAAAATCGAACGAAAAGAGAAAAATTCTCAAATTGGAGCTGCATTTTTTCGCCTTTTCAAGCAATGGTTTGGAAATTACGCGAGAAGAATGATATGGACCCCCCAGAGTATGGTAAGCCTTTTGTGTTTTTTCAATTTGACGTTCTCTGTCAGTTTCGATTGCTTATTGTTTTGTTTATGATCTTGTGTTGGACTGGGGTTGGGGATTTAAGTGTTTACACCATTTTTCGTTTGTCTTGCAGGTGAAAATGATGAATGTTTCACTATTAGGATTTACCATGGCGGCCAATTTGTGGATTTTGGCTGCAAGATGTATTTGAACGGTGGAGTCTCACATGTCGATTTTTGCCATCCCGATGAAATGTCACTGATCGAGGTAATGAGCATGATAGGTGAATTAGGGTTGAATTCAATTAAAGGTGTATATTGCAGTAGGAGTGGAGTTAATGACTGCAATGACTTAATCTTGTTGGAAAATGATAATGATGTCATGCAAATGTGTTTCATGAAGGATGTAGATAGAATAGTTGCTTTGTATGTGGATCATGAAACTGAACTTCCTGCAGTTTCTGAAGGTTTGGATTTTTTAGGTGATAATGATCAATACTTGATGAATGAAAACCCTTCTGCTGTGGGTATGAATGAACTTGATAAAAGTTTGAATAGTGATTCTGATGATGATGAGCAATCTTTGGGGACAGATTCTGAGTTATCTGAGATTTTGATAGATAGTGAAGGTGAAACCTCTGATGTAGAGAATGATGATCAATTTTTTGATGACAATATTGATTTTGATGTGGAGTTTGGGGGATTAGGGACTGAGACATCTCAGAGTCAGGCAAGCAATGGAACAATGAGGACAGAATGTAGTAAAGGTCACAAGGGTCATGTAGTTTTCAATGGGAGGACAGATATGAGTGAACCTAAATTTGAAATAGGAATGTTTTTCCCTGATATGGCTCAGTTTAGGAAAGCAGTGAGGCAGAGTGCAATAAAGAATGGCAGAGATGTAACTTTTAGTATTAATGAGAAAACTAAGGTCCAAGTAAAATGTAAGCACAGTAAATGTCCATGGCTCATTTATGCAGCACTTTTGTCAAGTGAGGACAGTGTGCAGGTTAGAAAGTATAACCCTACACACAAGTGCCCTAGGAGTCAAAGAGTATCTCATGCCAACTCTAGGTGGTTAGCTGAAACTTATAAGGAAAAAATATGGTCTGACCCTACTTGGCCTGTTCATTCTATGATGAAAATCATGCAAGGTGAAAACAAGCTTCTTTTCAACAATAGCCAGCTCTATAGGGCTAAGAAAAAGGTGTTAGCATCTGGGTCTGATGGCCATCATGAACAATTTGGTTTGTTGTGGTCTTATGCTGCTGAAATCAGAGACAAAAATCCAGGCACTACAATTAAAATCAAATGTAAATTGCTTGGGGAACAAACCTCTTTTAAGAGGTTATACATTTGTTGGGGGGCTTTAAGGGATGGATTGTTAGATGGGTGTAGACCAGTGTTGTTTCTAGATGGATGTCACTTAAAGACTTCAATTGGGGGAGTCTTGTTGACTGCTGTGGGCATAGATGGAAACAATGGCATGTATCCAGTGGCATATGCAGTGGTTGAAAAAGAATAAAAAAAATCTTGGAGCTGGTTTTTAGAGTTGTTGATTGAGGATTTGAAAATAACCAACCCATACCATTGGACCTTTATGTCAGACAAGCAAAAGGGTTTGGTAGAGTCCATTGACACTCTCTTACCTGGGGCTGAGCATAGGTTTTGTGTTCAACATCTCTATGCTAACTTTAAAGCCTCACATAAGGGTTTGGCTCTTAAGAGCTTGTTGTGGAAGGCAGCAAGAGCCACAAGAGTTCAGGATTTTCAAAAGGCTATGATTGAGCTGAAACAGAGAGATGTAGCTGCATTTGACTGGTTAAATGCTCGACCACCTGCAAATTGGTCTAGGTCTCATTTCAGCACACATTCAAAATGTGATGTGTTGCTCAATAATCTCTCTGAAAGTTTTAATGCTTCTATTGTGAGGGCTAGAGCTCAGCCAATAGTGAAGATGTTGGAGATGATAAGACTGTCTCTAATGAAGAGGATTCATTCAAAGAGGGATCAAATGAAAAAGCACCATGGGCAACTGTGTCCAAGAATTGAGAAAATGCTTGAAGATTTCAAAAAGAAGAGCATGGAGTTTGTTTGCCATTGGAATGGGGAAGATCAATTTGAGGTTGAGGGCAGCTCAGGTACAAAGTTCAGGGTGCACATTGGGGAAAAAACTTGCTCCTGCAGAAAGTGGGAGCTCAGTGGAATTCCTTGTGCACATGCTATATCAGGAATGTACTACTTGGATCATAACCCAGAGGATTATGTGGATGATGCATACAAAAAAGAAACATATCTGAGGGTGTATAGCCACTTAATGGGAACTATAGGTGGATCTGATGAGTGGCCAGAGGTGGAAAACCTACCATTGATCCCACCAGTTGTTGGAAACCTACCTGGGAGGCCCAAAAAGTATAATAGAAGAAAAGGCGAGGATGAAACAAAAGGAAAAAAGAAAGTGGTAGAAACTGCTACTGGTTTGAAACTGACCAAAAGAGGAGTTGTCATGAAGTGCTCAATCTGCAAGCAACCAAATCACAATTCAAGGGGCTGCCATAAAAACCCACAAAGTAGACCCACCAACCAAGGTCTGGATGTGCCAGCAGCTACTACCAATGGAAAGGTAATTACTTTATCTTAACTCACTTTGTGTTCTCATTACTATTATGTGTATGATATATTTTTTTTGTTTGCTTTGTCATTAGGAAAAAGAATCTCAGACAAATAAACAATCTCAGACTGAGCCAGTGATTAGTGGAAAAGGAAAGGTACATCAACTGATATGTTTTTTCTTGCTTAATTTGCAAGCAACAAAATCAGAATTCAAGGACATGCTTTGTTTTCTTGCTTTTCAGAGAAACAAAAGAGGTTTTGAAGTTACATCAACAGGTTTTGAAGGTGCACCTAATGGAAAAAGGAAGGTACATATTGAATTGTTTTACTCTTGTGAGTTTTTATGTGGCTTCTGATTATGGGAGTTAGTCACTAATGTTTTTGTTGTTTTGAAGAAGAATAAGGAAAAAGGTAGTGGTGTAAATGTACCTGTGGTTGTCACTAATGCTACATCAAGTGCACCTAATGGAGAAGGAAAGGTACAATGTGTAGTCCATCATCTAAATCAAAAACTGTTTTTAGTTGCCTAACTGTTTTTCTTTTTTTTTTGTTTGTCAGAGTGCATCAACTAAATCAAAACTGAACATTTTCACTCAAGAGAAAAGAATGACAAGAAGTAGCACTTGTGGAAAACCAATGGCCTTTACTCAGCCAATAGGTCAAAACCCAAGAAGCAGCAGAAATAATGTGAGATTCTCCACAACCAAGCCACCTGTGACCTCAAGCCAGACTAGTGCAAATCAAGTACCACCTAAAGAACCTCCACCAAAAAGAGTGACCAGAAGTAGTACCTTCTCTCCCAAAAAGAGCCAACAGAAGTAGCATGCCCCAGAATTGGTGTACTTTGTTGGTGTTATTTTCTAAACTTTGTGTCAGTGGTGTTATTTGAAAACTTTGTTGGTGTACTTTTGATACAATTGTGGTGATTGTTCTCAGTATACAATTGGTGATTGTTATGATGACATTATGGTGATCTTTGGTTTTGATACAATGACATTTGTGATTTTCTTCAGATTATTAATGGCACTTTGGATAATGGCATTTGTGTTTGTGTTTGCAGTTTTATTTGATATAGTTCAAGCAACTTTGTGTAGGTTTTGGATAGTTAGGCAAAATTGAAGCAGATTAATGTGTTGTGTTGTGTTGTGAACAGGTTCTATCACATTCAAACAAACAAATTGAACCAAATTCATTAATGACAGATTAATGACAGATCAGTGAACCAAGTTCATTACACATACACAAAGTTTACACAAAATTTGAACACGTTAAAACACTACACAAACCAAGTAAGTTTTAAGGGATCCAAGCACATTCCATACAAATTGAACAGAACAGGTCTTACAAAAGCCTTTCAATACCAAAATCCCACATTCATTACACAAACCATTTGAATCACAAACCACATTACACAAACATTTGAATAAGTCATACTTCACTAACTTAAGAACTTAGCCACACCACAATCACTCCATCCAAAACAAAGATAACAAAACAAGTCTAACACCATATCAACTTAGCCTGCCTACTTCTTAAGAAGGAAAAACATCATGATCCATGAAACAACAATAGCAAACCACAGCCACTTCACCCTTTTTTTCTTGCTTGCCAATTCAGCCTCTGCCAGATTAATGCGTCTCAAAAGTCCAGGGATAATTTGTCGAGCTCTTGTACACATTGGAGGGTCGATCCACACAAAACGTTTGCATCCACTCTTGAAAAAATCAAGAACAAATATCAAGTCAATGTAAAATAAAAACAAGAAATCAAGATCATTCCAACCATTCTCAAAACATTTGCCACAGAATTTCGAAAAAGAAAATTCGTAGCCCTTTGCAACCACTCTTGAACAAATCAAGTCAATATAACAACAAATCAAGAACAAATATCAAGTCAATGTAAAATAAAAACAAATCAAGAATAATCCAACCATTCTCAAAACGTTTGCCATTGAATTTCGAAACAAAAAATTCGTACCTCATTGCACTTCGCGTATCGCCTTCCAGGGTTGTTGTCCGTCCACGACGTCACCATCACCGTCCGCTTTCCACAAGTGCAATACTCATCCAAGGTCACCTCCGACGTCTGCCTCCACATTTTCTTGAATTTTTCTTTGCCCTAGAATTCTGATTTGGGGATTTAGGTATTGATCTTCATAAAATCTGATTTGGGTATTTTATGGAGAGGGTCGATTGTTTTGTATCTGTAAAAGGACAACCTTGTCCAAATTTAATACCTGAAAGGTCGACTTTGCCCTTCATTTTGCGAGTCCGATGGCCGGAAGTCGGAAAGTGTAACAAATCCTGAAGTTCAAGGGTTAAAGTGTCGCCGGAAAAAGATTGGTGGGCAAAGTGTAAAAAAGCGAATAGTTCGGTAGGTAAAGTGTAATTTTCCCAATAAAATTATAATTAGTTAATGCAAAATGTAACGGTTAGTTTTTATAATTAAATGGAAATAAAAGTAGCGGGAAAATTTTAGGAATAAAATTAATTGAATAGCCAGTGATTATATCTATAGATAGATTAACACTTATAGTCTCCATACTAAAAAAAAAGGCATTTTACAGTTGTTGTTGCTTACTTTAACTTGATTATGGAAAAGTTGATGCTCCTTGACAGACCAGAAGGCAGCAACACCAGAGTCAAGGATATTCAAGTCACAACAAGAACTTGGAGATTGAAGATTAAAGGGAAGATCAAACATTTCATCCTGAAAATGTTTTTCAAATGTCTTGCATATGACCAAAAATCTCATTAAGAGTGGAGTCGAAGTAGATCCTATCTATACTGTTTGTGGAGAAGAAGAAGAAGAAACTACTAGCACTCTATCTGGCAGTGTAGCAGGGTACACGAGTCTGGAGCATTGCTCCAATCAGTTGGGACAACTTACCTCACCCTCCTACTTCTTTTGCTGACTAGTTGTGGAGCATCTGTTTTATCAGCTACAAAGAGGTAAATGAAGATAGAATCTAGCTGTCGACCTATATACTCTGGTGGTTGTGAAAAGCTCTCAACCTTTGGATCATCTAGAAACACACTCTCCCTGAGCATTGCATTATTTTATTGTTTAAACCTCAAGTCTTGGCCTCCTGACAGTGGTTGAGTCCCTCAAGTCCCTCTCCAAGGGCCCGAGTCCCAGCAATGTCAGTTCTGGTGAACTCTTCGCCGCCACCATTGCAGACCTCCGCAAGCTTCTCGGACTTGACCCTCTCCATCCCTCTGCGCCTCTCGGTTTCTCCCTGTTCTTCGACAATGTAAGTTGAAAAGCCTCCTTTATCTCCATTTGAAGCTAATGAAATTCAAATTTTCCCGCATTTTTGGAGTATCTATTTTGCTTAGAATCATTATATCCGTAAAAAAATAAGTAAATCATAATTATTAAAATTTCGTAATCATTATTAAATTTTCACATACCATAAGGCATTGTTTGGTTGCCCATTATGGGTATGATATCACATTAAACTGGTATAAATCAACAATTTTAACTTTTCACTTTGGCATATGGATAACATTTGAAAAATGTAAGGTCTGGTTGTTATCAAACTCATTTGTTATACTACATCAAGCCCCTCCAAGATGGTGCACATTATCACATCCATTATACACCAAAATCACACGCAATTGATAGAAAACTATCTTCCGATCTGACTTCCTCCTCTTAAGTAATTGCAAAATTGACAGAGATGAAAGAGAGAGGGAAAGGAGCAGCGTAGATGTTCTTGATAAGAGATATGGTATCTGGCAGAATGGGCACAATATTTATTTTGCAGCAACCAAACGCACTGTATAATAGGTCTACACAACTCATTTTCACCTTTGATGAAAACTACAAAGCATCTTCCAATGCCATTTTACGTGACCCAAAATCGCGGCAGCATATATCCAAACATTTCAACAAAAACAATAAACATTAATTCTACAATTCCAAGTCTCCCTTTCTCTCAACATCCTTACACATCAAATCCCAACACACAAATCTATAAAATAATAATCCNCTCCTTCTCATTCTCATTCTCAGACGTGATATATCATGCCAACCTCAATCAAGCTAATATGCGGAATATGCAGCACAACCGACGGCCCCCTGCAATTCTTCCTCAAAAACGAGTACCCAAAATCAATCACCATTTTCTTCAAAAACGACGACGACCTTCTCGCCTTCACATACGAGTGCCCCATAATATACGCCACTCCAGCCTCCTTCGCCTGAATCAAATCCATCAGCTCTTCCCTCACGCCAGCCTCCAAACCAGGAAGAACATCTTCCGGCACCTCAACCCTAAGTTGCCTTCTCCTAACCCTCGGATTCTCATCATCATAAATCGACCTCAACCCCGACTTCCCACTATCACTCGACTCAACACTCTCCTCCACCGATTCAAAAGTCCTCGAACTCACCACCGCCATTCGCCCGTCAAACGAGACCGTATCCGGACTCGAGTACTGCGAGCTCCCTGCTGACTCAGCAGCCTCCATTCGGATAAACTCGACAATACTCCCAATCAACTGGCTCTCAAAATGACCATCGTCACCTTGGAGATCCTTGTAACCATACCGAACAATGCACCGGTACATGCGGTAAGGGCGAGGGCAAACTCGTCCGATCAAAAATCGCTCCTCGGGAGGGACGCAAGGGACGGGCACAGACTTCACGCACACGAAAACGAGCACGTTGTGGAAAGCCGGGAGATTTGTGACGAAATGGGAAAAAATGGGCGGGACTCCGGAGGCGAGTTCGGAATAGACGAGGCCGATGCCGGGGACTCGGACAATGCCGAGGGAAGGGCCGAGGCCCAGGATCCATTTGATGGGGACTTTGTTGTGGAGGTCGAAGGCGTACTTTCGGCGAGTTCCGTAGTGCCAGACGAACATGATGGACATGAAGAAGAGGGAGAGGACGAGGGAGACCCATCCGCCTTGCGGGAGCTTTGTGAGGGCGGAGGTGAGGTATGTGCCCTCCACGAACCAGAAGAAGGAGAGGAAAGCGGCGGCTAAGAGGGAGCTTCGATGCCAGACGAGGACCATCACGAGAGACATTAGGAAGGTTGTGATGAACATTACCGACATTACGGCCAAGCCTGCACGAGACGGGGGATTCGACGTTTGTCAGCAGGTGATTGGTGAGAATGAGGTGGGACAAGGGGACAAGGGGTCGGGTGATATTTTGATGGCAAAAATGTATTCTTAGTCATGTTGGTTTAAGCCACTCAAGATTCCAACTTTTCGCCTTTTGGTTCTGTGATTCAGTATGCAAATTGCAACAAAATTTTAGATTACAGGACTTAAGTTGCTAATCGAAAATCTGGGAATTTGGGATTTTGTGGCAATTTAAGTTCTCAAAGGATTGAAATTGCAGCAAAATATTAAATCACATAACCAAAAGGTGAAATGTTGGAACCTTGGGATTAAAAATTGCTATGGCGTTAAACCGACATGACTAAAAATGCAATCTTTTCTATTTTGACTCTCATTATGTATATATATGCTAAAAACATCCATTTAAACACGATAAAGAAGAATGGAATCTTTAGTAGACTGAGAAAATGTTTAATAACAATTATTATCGTTTCAGTGATAAAAAATACTATTCTGACTTAATATGGTTAATACTTTTAATAAACTTCATGCAATCCAACAAGTGAAATTGGAGAAACAGCTTTTTCATCTCTTCTTAGGTACTGCAACCATATATTCGACATGATTTTACGTAATAAAGAGGTTTCCTAACGGCCTTCTTGTCTAATGAATTATGCCAGAATATTGTAAGAAGATTAGATGATGTAAGATATCTTCCGGACGAATATAATATCACATTTTTTTCCAACAAGAGCATGATGATAGTGAAAGATAAGTATTTCTTAAATCCATTAGCTTTACCGTATGCATTTCCTATCTTAGTTGTGTCACGGAAGCCAATAGCCACGGCAAGAGTGAGAATCATAAGGATCCAATTAATTTCTGGTATGTATATCTGCCCGCGGATTTGTCTTGAGGTGTGCACAACCTTTACACGTGGGAAGCAACCGAGAGCCTGACACTGCTTAATGATAGAGAATGTGGCTGAAATTATAGCTTGACTGCCAACTATAGCTGCCAGGGTCGCAATAACAAAGACTGGCCAAAAGACAGCATCTGCAGAAGAGTTCGATTTGTTGAGAAAGAGGGAAAATGGGCTATTTATCCATATAATGGTTTTACGAAAAAATATCCCTGTGCTTAGACAAATTACAGAACACCCCAATTATGTTTCAAATATTCAGCCTCGAGAAAAAGGCACTTGTTAGATAAATGAAAATCCTCAAACGCAGAGCAGGTAAATCTTTTAAGGGTTCAGTTGTTATTTTGGAAGATGAAAGAAGCTATTTGTATTTATGCTAATCCCATGTGTCAGGTTTTGACGTTATCTCTAATAAATACCATCATTTCTGGTGCAAACTAACCAGGAATGGAATCATAGAAGCCGTTAGAGATTGAAGGAATATTCTTTGAGAGATAAGCAGCTTGACCCATATATTGCACCACCAAACATGGGTATACAACGGATATAAATGCAATCTGCAAATGCAAAGCAATTAAGAGCCAGTAAGGGACCGACAAGGAAGTTAGAAATATACAGCTAATAGTTACCCGTGCAATAGTACACTGGATAAAAGTTATCAAATTAAACTGGTGTGAATGCACCGTTCATTGTATACTACCTAATATTCTATTTACTCCAGAGTTAGATCACATGTCCCTATACAGCCTTGAAAATATGAGACTTAAAATTCAAGGCCATGCACAACAAAGTCTGCCGTTACAAGTATAGCACTTCTATTATCAACTGTAGCCTACAGATTTTTGAAGTTCTTACTATGTCTATTTTCAGGTCAACATCGAGATAAATACTACATTAAATAAGCTTGAACTACAAAGATTTGGGTTTACCCTTATTGCGCTTGCTGAGAAATGACCAAGATCTGCAAACATTGCTTCAGTACCTGATAACCCACAAACGATAGCCATCAAATCAAAAGTGGGGCAATTTTGTCATTCATAGCAAGAAAGCAGGTCATGGAAAAGGCTATTGAATTTGTACGTTTGATTTACATAATAATAATAATAATAATAATAATAATAATAACATGATTCCACCTACCTGTTATGGAAAGTAGTACCCCTCCAAGAGCAATCCACCCGTCTTTACCAGTTCGACTAAAGAATTTCACGATATAATGTGGAGAAATTGCAACCAGTACGTTTGGGTTCCAACGTATTATATTATAGACTCCAATAGAGAAAATTGATATCAACCAGAGGATAACTACGGGTGCAAACAGGACCCCAACCTTATGGGTCCCACAATGCTGCAAAGCAAATAGGCCAACCAATATAGCGCAAGAGACCAATTGCACAGCACCTATGACAATACATTGTTTCATAATCAATACAAGTTACAAAAACTATGATAAGACAGAAATTTAAAAACAAAATCAAAATATAGTCGGTCACCGAAGGCAGATTATGCATAAGTAGACATACCACGGGGCAACCTTTTATTTGCAGCTTCAAGCCCGGACACTGATGATCGGACTGCAAATAAGCCCACAATGATTACTGGTGTCAGTCAAAGTAGTTATTACAGAATCGAGCTAAGCTCAAATAGTGCGTGACTATGGTGCCTAAATATCAAAATCACTGAGGGTAACATAAGTAAATATTTGCCTACTACACATATAGAAAGACTTGCATTTGAATACTAGTGTTTATGAATGCAGTTAACAAATGACAAACTGAAGCAAACACAGCTATCGTTGGCAATACAGCTATTCATTTATGCTGGATCACAGTCACTAAATCGCAACATATACATTTCTACTGTATGTTATTTGTTGCTAAGAACCAAATTACATAAAAATTCCCAAGAAAAATGACAGTTGAACCAAAAGTGACAATAGCTTCCAAAATCAAGAAAGAAAGAAAGAAAGAAAGAAAGAAAGAAAGAAAGAAAGAAAGAAAGAAAGAAAGGAAGGAAGTATATTATAAAGAAAAAGACTAATAAAAAGATTGTCACCCAAAATCAAGAACAGACACTAATGTAATTAACATAAAAAATTTCAACCAGCTCTTAATTCAACATACCTGACATCACCGGAGTAACTACACCATCACCAATTACCATGCCCGCACCCAGCAACACCACAAGCAATAAAGCAGTCTTTAACTTCTTGCGTTTTTCGAGAAATCTCTTCAAGGCCGCAGATGATGAAGACTGTCCCAAGAAACCATATTTATAGGCCGAAAGCTCCTCATCAGCCGCTTGTTGATTAGGGAGTAAACTGAACTTTCCATGTCTACAAAGCAGGGAGTAAAGAGCAAATGTTCCACCTAAGGAGATTCAACAGGTTTATCAGAATTGATGGAATAGCTTGGCCTATAGTCATTCGATAGAGATGAATTCTCATACCTTCACCATTATCATCAGCATACAGAACGATAAACACATATTTGAGCAAAGGTATCAGAGTTAAGGTCCAAAAGATTAATGAAAATGCCCCAAATATTGTTTCGGGATTCTGATGGTTCTCCAACTTCCCAACAAATATGCTGCGGAATACATACAGTGGTGAAGTGCTCAGGTCTCCATAAACCACCCCAAAGCTTTGATACGCTAGTATTAGAGAAGTCGGGAAGTTTTCGTAGAAAAACTGCAAAATAAAAGCATACATTTTAACAATGATGTTGTAATTCACCATTTGGGATTTCTCTTTTTGGTTCAGTATATAGTTTATTAGCAGGAAACAAACTTATACTGATCCTTTTCTGGATTTTGAACCATCATTGGCCACTTATGAAGCATCACTTAATTTCACGAAAAGGTTAGGTGGTCACCTTGGTTACATAAGCGTCACTTAATTTCGTGAAACAGAAAGTGCCACAGGCAAAAAAAGTAATAAGCAGTAACATGTCCGAGAAAGCATAAGAGGGCAGCGAAAGAATAGAAACACAAAGTGTTTTTTAAATAAAGTCACACGTTTGTAAAGACCATTGTTTCTCACAAAGTTTGACAAGTCATTGGGACTAGAACCCACACACACACACAGAAAGGAGAACCATGAAGAGTAACAGCTATTTAGCCCCCAAAACATGAGATCAACCTCGAACAAGGTTACATATCCTATAATTACAGATGCCTTCCAGCAGGCTTCATTAATATGCCACTCACATTATTCCAACCAACAAAACAAGTAAACAGTAATTGCATACCTTTGAGACAACATTCTTTTTGTTGCTCGCTGTGTGGGTTTGTTCATCTTGACCATCTTGTCTGCTCGTATTTTCTGAGTCTTGACCCCAACCCACTGCCACTGGACGTGGCAAGTCATTGCTGTCTTCTTCAGCTTCGTATATTTGGCTCATTTATTAGCCTACCAAAAAGGGTTGAATAATTTTTTACTAACAGAATCCGAGTAAATTTTTAACCAAAGGATCTTATCAATCGTAGGTCTGCGAAATGAAATGCTTATTTTCGTTTATCTGGAGGAAAAATTAGAATATGACTGAACGTGCAAGCTCTTCTAGAGCTACTTTATGCCCTGTATTGAGCTTAAGTAAGAACTACATAAACACAACCAACAGGTCACATACACAGCCACATACTTTGCTTTCGTGGACATTCATGAACCAGAAACATCATACTTAATCAAACATTTGAGATGCAACAGATAAGCTTCAAAACAAACAAACTTACAATATTCCATCAAAACAAAAACCCAAAATTTGGAGAAAACAATATCCCCAGAAAGAAAACAAAAGAACGGTAAACGATAATTTTTCATTCCACTTCACGGCTTAAATCCCAATTTTTTCAAACATAAATGAAATCTTTAATCATGACCGTCCCCCCAGTCCAAGAAGAGACAAATCGAAAATGAAAAAAGAACAAAAAAATCTTTATCCATGTTTTTACCTGAAACAAAGCGACACCCAGAGAAGATTGAATCAAAATACGGTTCTCTGGAAAATGAACTCCAAATCAATTATGTCAAGAAACCACATCCAATCACGTATAAGGAGAGCACGATCCGTGTTAAAGCTGGCAGATTATACGGGGATAGCAAAAAGGATAGCAATTGAAAACCCAGAAAATTTCATATTTTCATAACAAAGGGATCACAATGAAGAGAGGTGAGATGCGCGGCCAATTTTCACATCCAGTGGTGAGGGCCAACTCAAGATCTATAAAAGAGGAAAGGGAAAAATAAAAACTAGATTATTGTTCGGACANCTTATTAATTTATCATTACTGAAGATTTGTTTTTCCTTTAGGTTTTAAGAGGAGCGTCCAATAAACTTTTATTTTCGGGCTGAGAAAATTTCACTGTCGTGGAACCTGTTGGGTCACATGGATCTCGAGTGTTGGACGACCCTTATCTGAATTTTCAAAGCATGTTGCTAAGGGCGTGATTAAATATAAATATATCAGTTTAAAATAATTTTTTTTATTAATGAAAATTAATTTTGTTAAAAAAGTGTTAGGTTTAGCTATTAGATTTTGAGTTTATATTATAATATTATTTAAAATAAAATAATTAAATTTATTTTTATGTAAAAATATGAAAGAAATTATGTGAAGTGATGGCTAGTTAAAATTATGTGAATGGATTAAAGTTGATATGATATGTAAAAATAATTAATTAATATTATTTTATTATATTGATAATATCAAGGATAGTAAAATTGAATTAAAATTGAGTTATATTTTCAGTATAGATTGAGTATGAATTTAGCTATTTTATAAATTTCTTTTATTTAAGTGGAATCCTTCATGCCTGAAGGTGGAATTTAATGTTTTATTTATAAAATTAAAATTTATAAAAGTCTTAAAAGGTACGATCAAATTCAAATCCTAAATAAATTGAATAGTTCATGTCTTTTTAAAAAATTTGAAATCTCAAATTAGTGATTTTTTAAAAATTCAAAACCAATACACCTATTTTGGAAGGTAAACTAATATTTTTAAATTTCATTGCAGCATGGAAAATACGAGACCTATCCGGTCCACGTGTCGACTCCGTGTTAAGGACCTAAGGTGCCACGTCGTACATTGTCCACAAATTACTACTATATGATGATTTTTTATCAGTGATCAACGCATTTCGTTTTCAGAAAAAAAGGCCACGCTTTCCTTTACACTCTCGATGCTATTTTAGTCCTCATTTTCTGCAGAAATAACTTAAAAATCTCTGCTGCTCAAAGATCTCTACTGGTAACTAAACCTACTTTTTTGTATGATTTTATGATATATCTGTCCACAATTTTTTTGTTCGGGTTTGAAGATCGTTCTTTTTTGTTCCTCTGTAATTCTGTTAAGATGTTGATCATATGCATAATCGAATTTCCTTGACTTCGTTTTTGCTCATGGGTTCACGTAGATCACAAGTCCTAATGTTCCCCTTTTTCGTTTAATCTTTCTATTTGTTTATCATTTAAAACAAGAATTTGAGATCGAGTAACAGATGCCATTTTTTATCAATTTCACAGATCTGAATATCCCAATATACCAAAAAGAAACTTTTACTGTACTTGAAAATTGAAGTACCCTTTCTCAGGTGATCGCAATCTTCAGTGTATCTTGAGATGTCGTTTTAGGGCAATCATTTTCCACTTTGATTTCCGAGAACGAGTTTAGATTAGTCCGTTCTCTGTATTTCTCCGACAACCTGTTGTTTCTTAATAAAAAAAAAACCAGTCTCGTTTTTGCTACAATCTGGGGTTCTGTTTCGTTGTATCCTTTCTGTATTTCAAAATTCTGACATTGTCAGTGGGGCTGATGATATATTTGATTTTATGGCCACAGTTTGTAGTCTGATGTTATGATGTTATGACTGTAGACATCTTGGATCATCAAGGCCTACATTAATGTTAACTCTTAGGATATTTGCAAAAACAGTAGGTCTTCTGATAGAGGAAGTCATACTTTTCCAACAAAAGTACATACCCACTCAAATGTCAAATTTCAAATTACAACATAAACAAAAAGTATGACATTTTATAGTATAAGTATGCATTTCTTTTGTGAGAAAGTATGAATATCTAACCGATAGGCAGCCTAACAGCAACATTTGTGTTGCAAAAATCCATAGTGGTTCGCTAATTTTTTTCTTTTTTGGTTGTAATAGCCAAATGTGGCCTTGGTTTAGACATAAAAGTGGTATTTTCTATATTCTTAGCACCAAACGAAACGATTTATAATCCTCTGCAGAAAAAAAATGGCATCTTCTGATAACCCCAACGTAATCGAGACGGAGGTCAAAAACCGGGACCAGAAAGAGGACAAGAAAGATGACGAGAAGGGCGGATTCATCGACAAGGTCAAGGACTTCATCCACGACATTGGCGAGAAAATCGAGGAGACTATCGGGTTCGGTAAGCCAACTGCCGATGTCACCGCCATTCACATCCCTCACATAAACCTCCATAAAGCCGACATTATCGTCGATGTACTCGTCAAAAACCCTAATCCCGTTCCTATCCCTCTCATCGACATCAACTACTTGATCGAGAGCGATGGCCGAAAGCTCGTCTCCGGCTTAATTCCCGACGCCGGCACTATCCACGCGCACGGCTCGGAAACCGTCAAAATACCCGTTTGTTTGATTTACGACGATATTAAAAACACGTATAATGACATAAAGCCCGGGAGCATAATCCCTTATAGGGTTAAGGTTGACCTAATTGTGGATGTCCCGGTTTTCGGCCGTCTCACATTGCCGCTCGAGAAGACGGGCGAGATCCCGATACCTTACAAGCCCGATGTTGATGTTGAGAAGATACATTTCGAGAAGTTTTCTTTTGAGGAAACTGTGGCAACCCTTCATCTAAGGTTGGAGAATATGAATGATTTTGACTTGGGGCTTAATGATCTTGATTATGAGGTGTGGCTAGGTGACGTGAGCATAGGTGGGGCCGATCTCGTGAAGTCGGCTAAGATTGAGAAGAATGGGGTTAGTTATATTGATGTGCCGATTACGTTTAGGCCTAAGGATTGTGGGTCGGCGCTTTGGGACATGATTAGAGGGCGAGGAACGGGTTACTCTATGAAGGGGAATATTCATGTGGACACGCCTTTTGGTGAGATGAAATTGCCGATTTCGAAGGAAGGAGGGAAAACCGTGCTTAAGAAGGAGGAGGAGGATGGAGGTGATGATGATGATGAGGTATGATTATTCATTTTGTTTGCTCTTTAGTTTTTGATAGCTCATGTTTGATGTTTCTATCAAGGTTTAGGCATGCCTAAGGATAAGTAATTTTCAACATTAAAACTACCTCCTAAAATATTGTATGTGCTCATATTTCGAACTCCCTTTCTCGATTGGAGGCGCTTGTTTCTTCGTACATACGAGTCTGAAGGAGTGTTTTTGATATCTGAAAAAGGGTACTTGTACTTTTGGTTTTGGAAAATGATTTATGTAGTTTATTAATATTTATTTAACCTGTATCATGCTGAATATTGCTCCTCTTCTGCAGGAATGAGAACTTCTTGTGGGAAACTAGATGATACCTTTGATTACAAATAATAGGAACTATAGCTCGTATATTAAAATTCGAACTGTGTGCTGTTTGTAATGTTTTAGAGTGTTACTTTTGAGATTGTATGTATCCTTTGCTATGCTACTGCACTTTGTTTCTCTACCTACTTATAGCATTATGTTGATTGGATTGTGTATGAACATACGAAAGTTTTCAGCTAAAATAATTGAATGTTGTGACTGGATGTATCAGGATGAATGGTAGTATATCATCTTCTCCTTTT